CATCCACTCTCACTCTGGCTTCAAGGCTGAGTGGCTTATGAAAGTAATGAAACCAATTTTGCATCTGCCCCAAACCTTTCATTTTCATCTAGGTATTTTGATTTGAATTTCGATTGTTGATTGAATTATCAATATAAACTTAAATTAGTTAGCTATTAGTTTAACCCATTTATTGACTATGAAACAATAACTACTTCGTAAAAGAGGCCAATGGTGTACCTAATTTGTTATTGGCCAGCATGGAATTGTATCAAACTATCAATAGTAATGGTAGTGCACTGCAGCACTAGTGCTTATATTCTGGATTCTGGTTAGGGAGCAGCTCTGTTCTGAAAATTAAATTGAACTATACAAGAAGTGGTTTCATAGCTTTCTATCCAATATAACATATAACAGTTCATTAATAACCCCTCCTACTGTCCTACATTTTTATGGTCTGTAAGACAATCATGAAATGTTTTCCATTCTGCAAGGCTGTGCCACTGCAAGTCTGCAAGAAGGATGGAAAAATGAGAAATGAACCTATTATTTAAATACTTGAAATGATGTTTGACAGAGTGGAATTTTGAGAAGGTATATAATCAAAGGTGGGCAGTAGCCTAAGTAGCGCACGCCGCACTACAAGTACCTAGCAGCTGCTACATTTTGGTAGCGGTAGCAGGTAGCAGCGCTACAATAAAGCAATGTAGTGGTAGCGCCCACTACATATTTAAGTAGCGATACGAGGTTTTGCCGCTACGGCGTTACTGCTACATTTATAGATAAAGCCTTTAGATTTTACTTAATAATATTAAATATTATTTAAAAACCAGCATGATACATACATAATATAAATTACAGAATAAAACTGTATGAAAGATTTTGGTGTAATGTTGTCAACCTCACTACCTCAGCCTGTTAGGTACTACTTTCTAGTGTCAACATGTTAGTTGTTACTTGTTGATTAAGTTGTCAGAGGTGGGCAGTAGCACACAACATGTAGTGGCCGCTACATTTTCAGCAGTGGTAGTGGTGCTACAATCTAGTGGGTGTAGGGGTAGCAGCCACTACATTTCAAAGTAGCGCTGCCCAGCTCTGTATATAATATACAAGGCCAACAAGTACTAAAATCCATAACTAGAATTTTCTATTACATATAAATAAGCTGATATTTTTTAACCATCAACTTGCTACTGTTGATCAATACTTAAATTAAATATCTATGTGTAGTGAACCACATTCAAAGAATTCTGTCCTGTCCTCTAAATTCTACTGTTGATGAAATAGTAAGATTTAATTTGAAATGGGTTAAGGCAAAAGTAGGTAGTTGAATAAGTTGTTTAAGGTGACCGTCTCCCGCTTTTGAAAACTTTTTCATTTATGAATGGATCGTTTTGAAACTTGATACACATATGTAAAACAGAAATCTAAAACTTTTTGTTCCTGTCAATTTTTTCAAAAAATGTAAGAAATCATGAAATTCATAGGAATCTGTGAAAAAAGGGGTGCTTTAAAAATCTATCTCCTACAAATATTGTGCTACAACGTCAAGACACGTATCATTCTATTTGTAACGATCATATCTAAAATCCATCCGATGATTTTTTTTAGTTTGAATTTGTTTGGGTGAAGGGGGGATTTCCAAAATTTTCCCAAAAAATTCAAATTTTCCACCTCTGCCCTCCTTTTTGCAAAATATAATCCCAACTAAATCAAAATAAAAAAATGACCGGATGGTTTCTACTTTCTAGAGATATTATTTACAAATTGAATGGTATATGTCTCATCGCTGTAGCTTCAAAACTCTAAGAGGAGATAAGTTTGCCATGACAATAAGTGTGAATGTTCAGGAGTGCGCGACTAAGTCCTGTGCGTATTGCAATAGGCACTCAATGTAGCAAGGATACAAAACTAAACATTACTGCAGCTTGATTCCAATCAAGGATGATGGAACGACTGCATGCACACCTCCTCATACGACACCAGGCGAGTAACTGAGCTTCAGCTGAAGCAGACACTCTATTGAAAGTGCTTGGCAGCTAATTTCCTCCTATTCTATTTGTTAAAGAACTCCCCCCCCCTCCCTTTCATGATCTGTCGTGAACGGATAAATCGACGTACATTGATGGTTTTGGTACCATTGGATAGGGCAGAATGTCAGCTGTAAGATGAGACTAAAAACTGGAAAAAGCAAAATCCAAAATTTTAGGGTAGATGCTCCCCTTAAATATATTTCAGGCCAATAAATAATGACAATTATCACAAATTTAGGTCCTGTCAAAAATGACCTTGTTGGATGAATACTATTCTGAGATTTGCACCATCCAAATTATTTCAATGTTTTTATTATTGGATTGTACAGTGTTGATGACAATATGTAGTAAATTTTTTATTCTACTCAGTTTAAGTGAAAATTGCAAAATGTTGATGAAGTGGGAGTTTCTAATTCTAAATTTGTATGTTTATAACAAGAAATGTCTAAATTTTTTAACTTGGGTGGCAAAAAGTTCAATCGTAGCTCTGGGCACCACTTTCTGGTAAGAAGTGGCAGGGAAGCCAGGCAGTTATGTATTCCATCATAAAGTTGAGCATACATGAAAGGTGTGATAAGCTAATTTATGTTTTGTAGGTCCAACTCCACAGTGAGCTTGTATGCAATTGGGGGAATCTTTATCAGGATCAATCATCAGAGAGTGCTTGCCATATTAAAGCTTCAGAATACATTTCTAAGTTGCCAAAGCTCTATCATACAGTACATTTTCTAAGTTTACAAAGCTTTATCATACATTTTTTAATAGAAAAATTTTAGAGGTCAACTCCTAAGTAATTTTTTCAATAAGTTATGGATTTAATTAACTGTTATAATAAGCAGGTAATGTATAATTGTTGAATATAGTGACAAATTACATGCATTTGGGAAGTAATCTATTTAGTGTACCTAGTAGCTTGTTTCGTGGGAAGTAATCTATTTAGTGTACCAAACCCATGGTTTGAAAAGAATAAGGGTTTTTTGGGGTTTTGAAGCCAAACCCATGGTTTGAAAACCATAGAATAAGTGTTCCATGGTTTGAAAACCATAGAATATGGGTTCCATGGTTTGAAAACCATAGAATAAGGGTTTTTCAAGGTTTTAAAGCCAAACCCAGGTTTGAAAACCATAGAATAAGTGTCCAGGCACCAAATTGTAGTAGGACTTTGAGTATACAAAAATAAATGACTGTGGCTACTCACTTCCAAAATATTGTTTTTTTTTTATTGAATGTGGATTGGATAGATTTTTATTAGGTGAGTAAGTCAAACTAGAAAATTCAACATTTTACTAATTAAAATGTAATTTGGTTTCAAGGGTTCCATGTGTCTTTTAATTTTGATATTTGCTCTTTATGTTTGCCCTTATTTCAAAACCACTTTGTCAAATATTTGCTTGAAAATTTAAAGCAAGAGGGGATCATAAAAGTAATAATGTCTCAGAAGGACATTACTAAATATCGACTTCATGGGGGATATCATACATACAAAATGTTGAAGTTCAACTCATTCTTTTATTAGTGAAATTTACCTCAACCTGCTCTTCATTGAATCCTCTATGCAGTTTTTCTCTGTGTACAATGTTTTGATACGTACCTAATTTATAAAATCAACCTTCATTTTGATTTACATGTACACATGTTGCTCAATCACAAAAAATTACATTATTGTCCCGTGTTTGACCCTAGGTATTTTACTTGGAAAATATTAGCAGGAACTCGAGTAAGAAAATTATTTTGTTATATTTACTAGATATTTACTGAAACAACATTCTTGCCATCACATTCACTGAGACAATATTCTTGCCATCACATTCACTGAGACAATATTCTTGCCATCACATTCACTGAGACAACACTCTTGCCATCACATTCACTGAGACAACACTCTTGCCATCACATTCACTGAGACAACACTCTTGCCATCACATTCACTGAGACAATATTCTTGCCATCCACCTTGCTCCAAGCCTCTACAGTCTAAACATTGTTCTGTATTATCAATCACAGCCAATATTAACATTTCCAACAAACCCATAATCGCCTCATACCATTCCTCATATGTTCTCTTACATTACTCTCACCCTTCTCATTCAAATCCATCATTCATCTGTCTCCAAAAGCCTCGCATCACATCAGGGGCTACAGTTCCTTTGTCAGTTGCACACAAAACAGTCTCACATTCACATGAAAATTTTGTGTAATAGCTCATTCATGAACATTCAATAACTTGTGCACCATAACTCCTTCAGGAATGATATATAAAAGTAATGAATTACGTAACAAAATTAAAGCAAAGAAAATGTGTTCTCTGAGTTAGAGAAAAACTATCCTGATGCCCTCTGGCAACTGTGATAGATCTTAATTTGAATATTTCTTGATGTAAAGCTGAGCAATAGAAATTCAACTGCACTTATCAGGGCTGCATTTCCATCCTTTTACAAGCATTTTCAGTACAAGCAAGTTTGATGTGCATGTATATGAGTTGAAATATTGACAGGTATAGCTCAAGAAATATATTATACTGCTTAAGGTAGAATCAAATAAGATGGTGATATTGATGAAATGAATGCTTAGAAAAATACATTATCAATAGTGGGAAATTTTTCAAAAATGAAAAAAAAGTCTGGAACTATGAGTGAAATGATTTAATAAAGAGGATTTGAAGTATTGAATGTAGAATCAATTTTTATTTTCTTAATTTATATAACATTTCCCATTGTTCTGTAGGTTATTGAATTTTAAGTTAGACATTAAATGTATTAACTACACAAACCTGCAAAAATGGAACCAAGGTCCAAGCTGGGAAAGTCCGAATATTTAAAAAGTATGGACAATATTTTCACTGATATTCTTAAGTTGGTGTCCATACTTTTTAAAATAATTTCTTAATAACCCAGGCAATTGGTCATTCTCATATTCTTTTTGAATAATTTTGATGAAGGCATTTGAAATTTAAGAAAACATCCATTAATATATTACTTTTCATTTTCAGATTATCAATTATTAATGACATATCATCAAATGTAAACTTGGAAGTTGGTATAGAGGAAATCCAAAATTTCTCCAACAGTGTAGTTTAATTGAATATTAGGTACAAATAGGAAAATTAATACTATCCTTTATTTGAAATAGCCAGTGCAATGCTGGCGTGTGAACTTTGTGATGAATACTTTGACACACACACACACAAGCCAGAATGCCTGACTTGTGGTCACACTTATTGTTTCGCCTGCATTTCAACATTACTTGAAAGGTTTGGAACCAAGATCTGTCTTAAATGTCCTGATGAAAGTGATGACGAATGTGAGGAAATTCTATGCTGTCGGAAATCAGAACCTTCAGGAAATATGATGGTACCTGAAATCAAAAGGCAGCTGGATTCTGCAACCCAGACTTGTAATTGGCTGAGTGTGAGTGGATTAGCTTGGATTGGATCCAATATCTGATTGCATTAGCTTATTGTTATGGCAAATCATGAACTCTCTCTTCTAAGTTAAGCAATCAAGCTGCTTGCCAGGGAAATACTAAGATCCAGAAAAAGGGTTAATCTGCAATACTGATCATACTCAAAACTCTGTAGTATACAGTCCAGAAGAAACAAATTTTCAATGAGGCTTATATCTGACATCTGTGTGGTATTGAAAACCATGATATCTTATGTATATTAGCCAAGTGACTGATCATGAGCCAGGTAATCTGTAATATATATGTAATCAGTAAATCACTCAAGACATAAATATCAGAATTTTCATATTGTTTTGTGTGGAAAAATACATTTGATTTATTATTTTATTAACTCAATAATAGAGAACTTGACTGATGAATATCCTTCATTTGTTAACTATTGACAGACATACAACACTCGGCCTGAGCTCCTGCCTGATGGTACATCGTGGACCGTCACAGATCATGCTGATGGACAGCAAGCTATTGCAAGCTTGTTGCACAAGAGGATGCCGAAGCACCTCATGGTGATATCAACGCACACAAGACCCATCTTTGAACTGCGAAATGTTATTGCTGGCATTGCTGCACAAAATGTTGGAAACATATGCTTGATGCCCATGGCCTCATTCTGGAGAGAGTTACAAAGCATGATGGATGAAGACATAGGAACTATTATCACAGAATTTGGGTAATTGAATTTATTAATACTTTTTGCCCTGCCTAGAAAGCATAAATGTTGGAAATCAAAATTAAATTCTTTGTTGATAAAATTGATGCCGTTATGGTTTTCAACTGGTGCCATTCTCTAATTTTTTCTCTCTATCTCTGGTTACAGAGACCATCTCGTGGACCTGTATGGCACTCCAGACCAAATCCTGGCACACAGTAACACTGGGAAGTGTGTGCCTCGCAGTATTGGTGTTCGCCTTGCCAGCCACAAAGACGTAGTGCGCTGTACTGCACTTGCGGAACCAATTGGTAAATTTGCTATTTTCAAAGCACTTGAAGGCTCTAGAAAATTTTTTGCTCATTTCCATAAGCAGTTTGTTATAAATATAATATTCGGTGGGACAAAAACTGTGAAATAATTCTTGGTGAAAAAAATCTTGAACTAAGATGAAATGAGTCCTGATATGAAATAAGCAACTGGTGAAACATTTTGAAACAAGCTTAATTATCTCCATTAGTGTTGAGACACCTATTCATGCTCTTTAACTGGCTCGAATCTAACAAAATGTTGCATAGAAATTACTGCTTGGAGTGCCTACTAACTGACAAATGTGATCTGTGAATCTACTTGGAATAAGCCAGCTTCTGAGATCTTGTTCTTACTCGAAAATAGGTTCAGAGGTTTTGTAATAGTCTCGAAATAGGTACAGAGGTCTTGTAATAGTCTCAAAATAGGGGCCGAGGTCTTGTAATAGTGTCAAAATATGTGCAGAGGTCTTGTAATAGTCTCAAAATAGGGGCAGAGGTCTTGTAATAGTCTCAAAATAGGTTCAGATGATGCAGATGTCTTGTAATAGTCTCAAAATAGGGGCAGAGGTCTTGTTATAGTCTCAAAATAGATGCAGAGGTCTTGTAATAGTCTTGTAGCAACGTCCCGCCTGACTTCTTTGATCAATCCACCTAAGAAATAGTTCATTTTTTGTGTTAACTTTGTCATAGCCGTTTTGCTCCTTGTCAGTTCAACACCAGCCCTGTACCAGTAAACAATAAACTTGAATCACAGCTTACTCCAGCGTCTCGCTAGCCTCTGAGTGTCTAGAAAACCTTTATTACCGCATTGTCAGATCAATCTTTACAGTCTCAAAATAGGTGCAGAGGTCTAGTAATAGTCTCAAAATAGATGCAGAGGTCTTGTAATAGTCTCAAAATAGGGGCAGAGGTCTTGTAATAGTCTCAAAATATGTGCAGAGGTCTTGTAATAGTCTCAAAATAGGTGCAGAGGTCTTGTAATAGTCTCAAAATGGGCGCAGATGTCTTGTAATAGTTTCAAAATAGGTGCAGAGGTCTTGTAATAGTCTCAAAATAGGTTAGGTCTAGTAGCTATTTCAAACTATCGTCAGTTCTGAAAAGATCCGGTCAAAGGACCTGTTTTTCGATCTCCTGTGAACAAGTCACGAAAAGTACAACAATCGGCGACAGGCCACATCAGGTCTATTCCTCAGTGCCGACATCACTATATTATGATATGTAAGCATCAAGTATTGAGAATCACAGAGCTGATGGGGAATAGATTCTTGTGTAAATTGAGTATTGTTTGTTTATTGGATTGCAATTTATCCAACAGATGACATTTGCTGCCTCAGAGGAATCCCGAGCAGCACTGGCTGCTACTTGAAAACGATCAAAAAGATCTGTCGCTGGCACTTCCTTGACCTCTGTAACATTGACTTGGACTGGATGTTTGAAATTGTGTCGTGCAGCATGACTAGTGACAAGTAAGTACCGGTATTCACTGCACAAGTCCTCGTTAACAACATTCATTTTGCCAGCATGGCATTTACTATCTCGACATAGCTCATTGGTCTTGCAAGCAATTACAAGACACATGATTGATTGGTTTATGATGCATGAAAGGTGCTTCTAAATCAATAATTGTATTACAGATAACCTGATTTACACAGAAGAAAATTCTTGGGTTAGAAAGAGTGAAAGACTAAAGTGTTGTATGTGTTTAATTAAAGAAAATTATACCCATGCGTCTTGCAATGTGGATGAGCGATAAAATATCCTTTGTCGTACACGTTCCAGCTCTTGCCCGAACCTGGTGCTGCCGAGGGACAAGCTTACTCACGACGGCGTTAAGCGGCTGTTTGAGACCTTGAGCAAGTGGCGATCAACCTATTCATCGCAGGTGACCATATACTGCGAGCCGCAATCCAAGCTCATGCTGTCACCAACTAGTGAGAAACTAAAATGTGCCGAGTTGTCAATCTTCAGCATCCTTCAATGGAAATCAGAACGTAAGTAACTAACTAGCAAAACGAAACTCAAAATAATTTGATGCGAAATTTTCTTTGAGAGATAGAAATTTGTAAGGACAAATTTTTCATTTTCAGCAGAACATAATTAGCGCCCTGGAAATATGATGCTAGTGGTCAAATTTCATTTTTTGTATCTTAACAATACCATGTTTTGTCTGTATTTTTTTTTTAACATCCCTTAATATTCTTTCCAGTGACGGGCAAAAGGTCAACTTGTCAACGAATGTTCTAAACAAGCCATGGTGGTCCCGTCCATATACCTTGGAGAATGGTTCTACTTGGCCGTGGACTTATACAGTGTTCTCAGTTTATGCGAGAAAGTGTCCTAAATTTTGGCGTGTATTCAACATAAGGGTGCTTGTATTTCAAATTACTTTTTAGCCTAGACACGTGCATGATATCGTGCCTGGTCTTCCCAGTGGAACATTTTCTTCTATTGAAACGAATGACGCCGGGTTAAAGCCTTACGTGCCGAATACCTGTAGAGTAATAGAGCTTTGTTTCTCAATGGAAATCATTGGGTTGGTATTTTATAAGTTAGTTAACGATCGGAATATCCTTGTTTGAATCACGACCATTTAGTTACTCTTCTTAGCTAGTAGTGTTGTTTGTAGCTCTGTGTTTGGTTTAGGACTGTTCAGGCGCGACGTTGAAGCCGAAGTTTTCTTGATGAAAATCTTTTGTTTGTTCGTTCAAAAGAAAATTCATGTTTTATTTTTATTTGCTTTCTTTTGTTGTATCGTGTTTGGTTATCCTTTGGTCCAGGCCCACGTAACCTGACGCGGTCTTTGTTTTATTGTCCGTGGCGCATTGAGTTGAGCCTCAGATTTGCGATGATATGACATCCTTCAATGATAGAAATGGTATAACGTTTGTGGTGATATGACATCTGTTAATGATGGAGGGTTTAAAGCGTTTACGATAAGGTCATGGGTTACTGATGTTGGTGATGCTCTTGTGGTGATAAATTGGGTTGTAATGATGAATATGGTGAAGCTTCGGTGGTGTGGACGTCGTCCTAGAAAAGTCATTCGCCCTTCGTAGTTATTGACTGAAAAAAAATCATTCCAGGAATTGAAGCGCACGAGCCTATTTTAAATTTATTATTTTCGGACTATCTATAGTTTTATTACAGTTAAGGTTTCCTGAACTGGGCGCCCGATAATATGGATTCTTGCATAGTAAGGATTTGGGAAGAACTTTTGTGATTTGTAGTTTTATATTTATTGGAGCTTTGCAATACACCGGAAATGTTTTGCGTCCCGGAGTTTCTATTTTCCTTCCGTCTGAATGTTCGATGCAGTTCACGGAATATTACACTCAGGAAAATGAATTTTTTTTACACTGGTAGCCAATTTGCTCAGCAAACTAAGTCAGGTTGACCCACTCAAGAGCTAAGTATGTATCAATAGATAAAGTATCGCTCGTGCCTACGAGGAGAGACCTGGCACCGTACGTCCAGGATGTAGTGACATCCTGGAGGCTGAAAATGTTGTACTTAGGCTTGTCGCCCTCACATCTACTTTTCAGCGCAGCTAACGTGAGTTTGGAACTTGCGGGACAACTTCGACAAAAATTGTCCTGGGACTTTTACCGAGGTTGTTTTGGGGACTTGTACTGGAGTTAATAATTTTTTACGGTGATCGTAAGTGCAACAATTGATCTTGAAACTCTCAATACTTCAAGAGGTCTTGTGACGCGTGTTCATGCCCGTCAGACCTCTAAGAGCCTGTAAGAGGGGTCTACACAAGTGGAAAGCTTTGGGAAAGGTTAAAAAGACTAGTTCTTTCTCTACACAGGAAACAAAAAAGGTGGTGAATAAATTTAATACAATAACCTAGTAATATAAACATCCAGTTGTGTTTATATTACGTCAATCTGGGTTCATAATTTCAAGTCATTTGTCGATTATTTTCATATGAAAAAAAAACTGAATATATCGGACTAAGTCGTAACCGTGACCGAAATAGTACCAATTTAGTGTTTTTTTATGCAGCTCACAGCCTCACACTGTTGTAGTCAGTCTCAGCAATGTTGGCAATCATGACTGTCACGCTACTCGAAAGTCGGAACTGAAAATTCTCCGTGATTTCATCTGCAGAACTCTAAAAACTTGGTTGCGTGCAGCGGTTCTTGCGACTCATCAGAGTGGCCACCACGTGAAATTGTATCTGGAATATGCTTTTTTTCGTGCTTTTGAAGGCAAGCTTTTTTCTCCTGTCGGCAGGTTTTATCTCATGCGACGAGAAACCAAAGATCTTAGCAAGTTAGCCCTGAAAGGTAGTCTTAGATATAGCTGTAGCCTGCAGGTAAGATTAAGGATTTGCGGTAAGAACTCTGTAGTGCCGTTCTTTCATCTTCTAAGTGTCTTGAATTGAATAGTGATATTTTGTTTATTAGCCGGTTTCACTTAATATAGGTGGCAGTTTTTTCAATTTGAATTACATTCGCGACTTGCATCGTAAATTTGCCATGCTTTATTTTTAATTTTCTCACATATCTACCTTTACTCTTTACTGTAATTAGCGACTTGGAAATTTAGGCTTGTGTACACTGTACGTACAGTATACCATTCAGACATGTTCAAACTCCGTCGGTTTCTGATGTCTCCCTCAAATAACAGCTTTATTTTAAATAAAATAGTCTTATTTGGTTACTGATTCAACTTGACTAAATCAACCTCATTGTTTTTGCTGCTCTCTCTCAAACGATGCTGTTTCTACGATGGAGAATTTAGCTTTTTCCAGTAGTCTAGTTTCCTTTGAGCCATCGAACAACGAACTTTTAACACTGGCAACATGAGCTTTGTGCTTACGCAATGCGTTGAATTGCGTTCGTATTGCGATCAATTCGATGTTAGCCTTCAGTCCTTCACCACGTACGACATGAATGATGTTAGCTTGAGCTTTTCTCGTGGATTAATGGGGAAATTGATTTATAATTTCATATTCTCGATGGGATTATAGGTACGACATCTTATGATCTCGTATCATAGTCATATGTATGATATAATCTACAATTTTTTTTACATCGATCAGTCAGTCGGTCTGACTCGGTCACTCCCCATGTAAAAATATCTTCTCATCTTTTAAATTATTGTATACTCGTCGGCCAAGCGGTGTGCGGCTCAATGGGCTATATATATGCTTACCGCCAATGACACACGAGCCAGCACAACTCATTAGCAACTATATAATACTGTTCTCTGTGTTCAGACTTTTATTGATATTATTAACACATTATAATTAGAATTTTGTTCTAAACTTGCTAGAATGTGGCTCAATTTTGTTACTAAAATATATAATGTCTATTGGAGTCAGTTGTCACCATAGAGAGATTGTGATGCAGGCTTGTCACCCATAGAGAGATTGTGATGCATGCTTGTCACCCATAGAGAGATTGTGATGCATGCTTGTCACCCATATCCTTAGTATCCTTGGTATTTGTTTCGGACGTAGCAGTCCCAGGCCACGCTCATGCCGCGCCTGGTCTTCTGGCTCTTATCTATCGGACGCCAGGGTCAAAGGTGAGTGCTTTTCGCGCTAGCAAAAGAAAACTTTGAATAGACCCATCGTATCTTATGGTCATTATCTCCCACTTATCAGAATCATGGTTGAATATGTACCATCATTGAAAAAACTCATCCTTTCTCAGTAAAAACTTAACCAAAGTGAATATCAGGAGTATTTTTTTTATATGAATTCAGTGCGTAAAACTTATGCCAAGAATATAAAAAATGTTAACTAGTTCATTGACTGATGAAATTATGTTTACAGCTGCGGTTAATTTGATCTTCCAGTGTAAGTTTAACTTTGCTCAAAGTTTTATGCCCAGTGAAGAATGTTGGTGGTTGTCAACTCGATGCATTGCGTACTGGGGTGGCGAGCTGAGGTTAGGTGAGCAGCGTTAGGGTACGCACACAGTGAAAGCAGGTTGCCAGCGTGCTGGTTACCTGCTCAGGCTGGCGCCTGAAACCATAGAATACAGAAGCCTATTCGTACAGGTTTTCACTGTGAACACTTACATTATTATCCTATGTTCATTCTTGTGGCAGGTTGCCCGCGCGGGCAAACCTGCTTTCACTGTGTGCGTACCCTTAGGTTCGTGGTAGAGCTTATAAACGTGCACCTTCTGACACAGCTGGTGAGCTCCTGCGTCTGTGAGATCATCCCTCGGGGGGACCAGCTTCTCCCTGGAATTATATAAACGAATAACAACACAATATTTCTGTCAAGTTAAAATTAAATACAGTCGTAATTTTATTTTGCATAATATTACGTATAACTGAATAGTCGTAAAAATATAGTAGCATGAGAGTAGCTAATATTAATAGAGTAATTGAGAGTAATAGACCAGTCACTTACTATACATAAGTTGTCAAATAGAATTAAAAAATTCTAACTTTAAAGCGTATATGGTCAGTCTAATAAATAAAGTTATTACGTCATAAAGCCACCAAAAAGTGGCTGGAGGGAGAATCAGATGCTGTACGTAAGCATAAGTTTGTCAATGCAATAAGTTTGTTTCCAACAGGGAAACCCAGATTTCATGGATACAAAAGAAGGCAGCGGAGACATGACATAAATGCGATTCCCAATTATGAATATTTTCTTAATTTTGCCTTACTTCGGCGTCGCCAAAAAATTTCGTAATTATATAGATTGTTGTCAATTGCTTGCATGAATTCTTTTCATCTGAGTGATGCTGACTGGTGTTGGCAATTCAGCTATTTTCCTGCTAAATTTTGCGCATTTTCAACGTATTCAGCGAGAAAAAATGAGCTTTACTGGGAAAAAAATGTAAGTAAAATTTAGTTAAAAGGATCTTTTTAGCTGCAAAATTTGAATGTTCAGTGTATTTTTGCCTTAAAATGCCAGGTTTCAGCTTGAAATACAGACCTAGAGAGCTGAACTTTTAATATGTTTTAGCATAGACAAGAAGCTTTCCAAAAAGATGTAGCATGCCAAGATATTATGATGATCAAGATGTACATAAATAATTAAATGAACAAATGAAATTAAGGGGAGCGTCTGCCCCAAAAAAGATCTGGGATATCAACAGACGGATCGATTCAAAATTTGGTACATTTATGTAACACGGAATTCTTTTTTTTTTTTTTTGCTCCTGTGAATTTTTCGAAAAAATGAAAAATACGTGAAATTCCTAGAAAACGGCCTAAAAGGGGGTACTGTAGAAATTTATCTCCTCCTAGGATTTTCAAGTTACAACATCGAGACAGATCATTCGATGCATAAAGACCATATCTACAACTGGAGGAAAGGGTTTTTTGAATTTATCATTTTTGTGAGTGTGGGGGCATTTTTTCCGAAATGTTTCGAAATTTTCCAATTTCACCCCCGCCCGCCCCCCTTTTTGCAAAATAAAATCCGAACTATAACGAAATTGGAAAAAAGCCTCCCTCCAGTTGTAGATATTTTATTTGCAAATCGAACGGTATATGTCTCATTGATGTAGCTTCAAAACTTTAGGAGGAGAAAGGTTTGCAGTGACAATAAGTTAACTTTTCAGTAGGGCCCGACAAAGTCGCGCGCGCCTCGAAAAAGACATTCAAGGGTGCAAGGTTGCAAGACTAGACGATATTTGAGCTCAATTTCTGTCAAGGATGGTGTGAACGACGGCACGAGAACCATCCCATGCGACTGCAGACGGATAACTTAAGCACAGCGTGTTCAGACTAGCTATTTAAGTGTGCTACCGGTAATTTCGGCCTATATTTAATGTTGAAGAATTCCACCACCCCTAACCCTTTCGCGCTCTGTCGTAAACGCTTAAATCAACGTACAGAGATGGTTTTGGTACCGTTAGATGCGTCAGAATGTAAGCTTTAAGATGAGTATAAAAACGGAAAAAGTCAAAATTTTCGATTTTGGGGCAGACGCTCCCCTTAAGCAGTAGTTAATATTCAACATACAGTTTATTAAACGAACAAGAAATATAAAGAAATAAAAACACACAGGTAGAAGTAGGGTTACACAAGGCATTGACTTTGGCTTGCCCTTCATCTCCTCGAGGTGATGATCGTTGCCCATGATGAACATCAGCCTCTCAATAATGTAAATAATGGACTATTATTGGATGGCACTGGATGGGATGGCTGTGTAGTACTTAACGAACAACATGTCCATCAACACCTGCGCTCACCCAAGAAGGCAACGTCAGTCAGGACCTCCTTCGAGCTGGCCTCCAGCCATGTCTTCACCAAATTCTGTAACTTGGACTTCAGTGAACCGTGGCTCCTC